TCTCTGGTGAGCACAAATGCCCTAAGGGACAGAGAGAGAGAGGAGAGAGAGAGAGAGAGAACAAAGACCATGTCTTGTGCATATCTGCACTTAATAAATGAATGAGAGGAATTGTCATGTCCACTTTATACCTAACAGAATCAGCTTCTCCTCCCTCAGGCCTTGATACTCACTCTGTACTTAAGCAGTCATTGTATACCTGACTAAAGAAGTGGGTGGATTCTTTTCTTCTTCTCCTCCTTCTTCTTCTTTATTTTTATTTTTCAGTTTATTTCTTTCATGAGAGGGAGGCAGGTGGGGTGAGGGGGGGAGAATGAGAAATAGGGAGGGAGAGGGGACACCTCCAACAGACTCTTTGTGCCACGATCCACCCCCAGCCTCAGGCATCCTATATCAGGGAAACCTCTAAACATGAACTTAGGACCTTCCCATGTGAATCCAGCATCTGGGAGCATTGAGCTACCACTGTGCCACTGTGACTGGCCCTCAGTAGACAATTTTATGCACTGCCTCCTTCTTTTTTCTTCACAGCAATGGTTTCTAAATGAAATAGATTGTGCGAATCAATAGAAAGATCAACTCCATTCTGGGATTTGGGGTAATTGTGGCAAAAGAGTCATGGCTTCCTTCACCACAGTGAAAAGGGGATTGTAGTCGCTGGCAGTCATCTCAGGTCATGACTCCTGTTTGTTCAAAACCTTCCTTTGTATCACTGTGAGGCTGGCAGAAAGTGTCACCCATGCTGTTACTGAAAGACAAGTGTCTGAATCAAAACAGAGGTTTACATGAGAGGAAGGGGATCCAAAGCAATGCCTTGACTTGGTTTAGAAGGAAACAGATAGGTCCTCACTGTCACGAAGTGTGATTAAGAGCAAATTGAAACCAGCCAGTGACATGTTGGCTAAGGCAACTGGATCCTACCCGGTCAACTGACTGGTTGAGTCCTGGACATACTGGACATGCGTGCATGCGTGCCCAAAATCCCAAGAGGAGAATGGAGGAGAAAGGATTATGGAGTGGCCATCCCCCCTGGAGAGTGCTTTCTCACTTTCACTCTCCTTGGCAAACACAGGCACCTCATAACAAAACTTTAAAAACAAACAAAAACCTTGGAAGAATTCATCCCTCTCTCTTCTTACCTCACTAAAACACTAAAAACCCCTCTCCTCATTAATAACCAAAATTTCATCATTGGCGATTAATTTTATTGGGCTGAGAATTACCCCCATTTGGACACTGTGCCTCATGTGGGTCTTGAACCTCATCAGCTTGGATCATCTCTGTCTCAGTGGATCCCCTTTGCCTCTTTGTTCCCCTCTTGGTTAGATATGCCGCCTACTATCCTTTTCTTTTCTAGATCCCACCATTGACTTTACCATTCAGGGCTATCCCCACACCCAGACCATGGTCTGCTTGAGAAGTAGGACATATTCTCTTTAGCTTCTCACTTCACTACAAAATCCCCTCTGTATTGATTGCTTGTTGCTAATCTCTAAAACAGGAACAAATACAAGTAACAAACACATAGTAAATTACTGAGAAATCTAGAAATCTTTCAAAGGCATTTTCCTGGCTTAGAGTACATCAGTTTCTTTGAGTTCTTGATGTTCCTAAACTCCCCATTTGTCCCGAGTGAAGATACTGGTCAAACTTCACCAACCTCAGTATCCTCCCTCTGCAGATAATTGTAAAGGTCCAGTAGAATCAAAGACTTGATGCTTTATTCATTCTTTCAGAAAAAGAAGACCCACCAGGGTCTAGGCACTGTCCTGGGGGTGAGAATATGGAGGTGTTTATTGTCATAATGGCCTGTTGCTAAGTTGTAAGACTAGAGATTATTTACCCTATGGTTTGGAGGTCCAAGGTCCAGGGGCCATATCTGTTGATGGGGTCTTGAGGAGAGGTGCAGGGCATCACATGGCAAGGGCTTGAGCAGAGTGTGTGTGTGTCTGAACCCATGTGTCTATTTCATTTTCTCTCCTTATAAATCTATGAGGATTCAGTCATGGGGGCCTCACCCTGATGACGTTCATCTTGATCAACTCCCAAAGACCCCCCTTCTTAATCTCATAGGGTAAGTTTTTACCCTCAATACCTTCACAGTAAAACCCAATTCCAACGTATGGATTTATGGGGGACATTCAAACCATAGTAAGGTTCTTACTCTTATGGTGTTTCCTGCTAAGAAGATGAAGACAGGTAATACATTGAGCAAATTAAGAAGCACACTCAATAATCAGTTATTTGACAGCTGTGATGAAGAGGCAGGGGTTCCTCTGAGGCAGTGTCATTTGCACTGAAATCTGAAGGATGAGAAGTCAGCCCTGCAGAGTTTGGAAACAGCCAGGGATTTCCGAGGAAAGGAAAGGAGACCAGCACGGCAGCAGAGTTCATGGTGGGAGGTGATACTGATGGTGTTGAAGGGTACACAGGGGCCAGAAACACAGGGCTTATAGTAGCAAGTTTATTTTAATGACAGATGCATAGGGTTTTAGCAGAAGAGGCATGTGATCTGACACACATTTTCCAAAAAACTGGTGGTGGAAATCAGTGAGAAAAATGTAGGTGTTTGGTCACCTTTTCAAAACCTGTGCACTGACAGGCCAGTGAACATGACCTCGTCTTAAATTGATCATTTATAGCTGAAGGGAAACATGACACCCATCTCTGCACCAACAAGGCCTCCTGAGAGACTGGAAATGTAGCCCAGACCTGCTTCCCACTCGATGTGGGGAGTCCATCCTTCCCAGAGCCAGGGATGCAGGAAAGAGGGGAGCAGGAACTATGCTCTGGGGTGGAAGAGGATGCTGGAAAGCAGGGAGAACCAGAGCAGTCAGTGAGGATATGCAACAACCTTTTCAATCCTCCTCAACCAGAATCTTTAGAATCCTTGGAATCTTTCTATCATGTCTCCAAACCTAGCTTTCCTTTCCTAACAAGCCTTGTGGTTTATTGCATAGAAATCTCCAGACATCACTTACTTCCCAGCAGTACCCATGTCTTGAGAAGTGTGACTGGGACAGAATAAAATAGCCTGTGTTTCTTGTGTCAATATTACAGACCCCAGGAAGTGTGACTAACAGGAATCTGGCTGAGAGTGACCAGGCTATTGTCCCGACCAGCAGCTCTCCCCAGCAGTAGGCTACACCAAACTGTTCTTAGGATGCTGCCTTTCTAGAATCTGCTCAGAAGCATCGGAGGAGGTGCTCCGACCCCCAGACCTTGCCATCTTTCCACAGTGCTTTTGCCCTTTCCAAGCAAGGAAAGGCTGGAAGGCATCCAAAGGTAACTGAAGCAGGAAGCAGATCATTCCCAAGGAGTAGCCCGATCACTTTCAGCCAGAGCCCTTGGCTCTCATACCATTTCCAAAGCCATCCTCGGAGAAACGCTCTCCCTAGTCATCTCAGGCTCTGCTAAGAGGATTTACTCCTACGGCCTCCCCTGGCAAAGCTACACAGAAGACTACTAAGTCTGCATCCTTACACTTAATTCCTCTCCAGGATTGCTGACTCCAGTTTTTAACTGCCAGTTTGTTATTTCCTGGATATCCCAGCAGTGTCTTTCAGTCGACAGGGCCAAATCCAATTCATCATCTCCCCCTCCTGGATTTCCTGTTTCTGCGGACAGCATCACTGTTCCCTCTGCTCCCCTGGCTGGGAGTGTCTGAGTCATCCTTGACTCATCCTGCTCTCTCTTCTCCACAGCAAACCAACTGCTGAATCCTGTAGTATCTAGTTCTGTGTCGTCACTGGAATCTGTCCCTCTCTTCCTATTGCCATCAGCCCTCCTCAGTGTGGGCTGTCATTACTTCCCTCTCCACAGGAGCATCCTACCGTTTTCCCTCGCTATTAACCTACCTTCATCCTGCTGCTGACTGAAGCCTCCTCAGACACAGATCTAATCGCGTCATGCTGTTTGCGGCAGCCTGACGCGGCTCCTCTGCTGCCACGTGAACCGTAAACTGCCTTTTATTTTATAAGTCACCATTCTTTTTCAAATACTTTGTGATGAGGCTAGACTTGTCAATCACTGGTGTGGGTCTTGACTTTTTTTTTTTTCTTTTTAAAAATTTCTAAAGGGTACTTGAGCTCGCCAGAGAAAGAGAGACAGAGAGAGTGGGAGAGGGAGAAAGCACCCCTAGTGAGGTTTGGCCACACTGCTATGCCTTCTCTCCATTTTTCCATCTCTTTGGGATTTGAGGCATGCATACACATGTGGCTGGCATGTTTTTGAAGCTCCCAGGGCCTAGATTTTAATCACAATCAGCTGTGTGGATTTGGCTACCTTAACCATCAGACCATAGGGCCAACTCCAATTTTTTTTCTTGGATTTCTTTGATATTTAAATGATCTTGCACAAGTGCAATATGATGTTTCATTTCTAAATTCTGTATTATATTGGGTCATCAGAAAAGTCATGGTGCATGTTTGCATAGAAAAACAGAAAACTACATCATGACTTTCCCGATGACCCAATATTTGTATACTTTTTACAGATCCCTAGAAAACTTGACATCCCTGTGTTATTTGTCCTCACATTTATTTTTGCTTCCTCTAATTTTGGGCACTTGTATATGCCAGGCATTATTCTTAATGTTTTACTTGTATGCACTAAGTTAACTCACACAATGATTCGAATTGTAGCCTAATTGTACCAACGGCAAAACTGAGGCAGGGAAGTTGAGTAATTTTCTGAGGCTCTATAACTAAGAACTGGCAGAGCCTCTGACTCCAGAGCCCATGCACTTAACCCCTGATCCACATTCATCTTTGTGACCTGTAATCTATTAGAGTTTGGATATCTGACGTTTTATAATAGAACTGAAGCTTAAGGAATGTGTTCAGTAATGTTCAGAAATATCAACGGTAGGCAGAGTGTGCAAATGGAACTTGATATCAGGAGCTGATATAAAGTGCTTCCCAGGAAGTCACTACAGAGCTAACAGACAGCTTTGTAGTATTTTTGTCCTACTTCTTCTTCTTTTTTCCTTTTTATTCTAGTACATGGGCTGTATTGAAGTGCTGCAATCAATGAGGTCACTGGATTTTGGAATGCGAACCCAAGTTACAAGGTAAGAGACCGAAAATGCGAGGGCCTTTGAGGACTGTTGTTGAAAGTCACCATAAGTTTTCCCACCAGAATTTCATGCAAACCTTCCAAGTCATTATGGGTTTTTATTTATAGGGTTGGAAGGCAGAACATAGCCCAGTGACTTTGGATGAGTGGCTTTGTCTCATTACATGAGAGATTTTCCAAGTCCGTAGCAGAATATCTGCATTCCACAGGAGGAGCAATAAGATGATACAGTCCAAAGAACTGGTTTCTCAGTCCCAGAGTATCTAAAATTGCACCTGAAATAGGACCTTGCAGAGTCTAAAATCTGCTAAGGAGTAGCTGAAGATAAAACTAGTTAAGAACTCCCCCCCCTCCCCCGCAGGAACATGAGTTTGCCAGAAAGAGACAGAAAGAGAGAGGGAGGGGATAAAGCACAACCTCCCCCTCAATGGGTCGTGGTCTTATCACTATCCCCTTTTCTCATTTCTCTAGTCTGTTGGGATTTGAGGGCACACACACACACACACTCATATGACATACTTTTCAAGCTGCTAAGGCTGGGATTTGAACTGTGGTTTGTTATGTGGGATCTGGTTCCCTTAACCACTAGACCATGAGACTAGACCCAGTTAAGAACTTTCAATATCAGAAAACACAAGTTCTCCCTATTTCTGGCATTTCTGCCTACCTTTTGTCTTGGTCTCCCTTTATGTGCAGCGAATTGGATAGAAGAGTTGAACTTGGGAACTTTACCCAGCATGGCCCCAGACAGGCAGCCTAGGGGAGGAAATCAGAACCCTCGATACTTAGAGCTCAGGTCAGAAGCAGAAACACAATGCATAGTTCATTAACACTAAGTTCAATGCAAGGTTAGAAAGTGAAATAAGTGAGGGAAAGATTCTGGTAACTGAACATTTTGAGGTGAGGGGGAGAAGGTGAGATGACTGGATGAATTGGGACAGATTTGTGCATCTGTCATATGTAGTGCCAAGGTATGTCTCAGGGGCATGCCACAGTGCCCATCTGGATCTATATTTGTAGGCCACCTGTTCTGAAGGTGAATGTTCTCTTTCTGGAAAAAAAAAAAAAAAGAATAACTTTTTTTAATGCTTATCTCATGGACTCCTAGGTCTAGAAAAAAGTGTCTTGTGTCCAAAAACTTGGGGTAAGGGACTTTATTGCTCTTTAGGAGAATCACAGAATAATACAGTAGACAAAAGACCTCAAGAAGTCCTACGGTGTAGTTTAAAAACCTCTCACTTTCTCTTAAGATTTTCTAAACTTATCTGGCCCCAGAGTCCTTTCTTCCGATAACATAAATGAACGTGCCACATATCCCAAGGGCTTCATGAAATGCTCATTTGGATTCTCTACCCAATGATTATTCAAATGTCTTTCCACACTTTTTGCTAATCCTTGGAATCTGCTTTGGCTAATGGAATATATAATTCTGATGTGAACACTCTTGCTACCTAGCTCAGCCCCTGACTGAGAGGAGAGGATCAGTGGATATTTATGTTAAAAATGCATGGTTTCTTCTGACTACACTTCCAGTATTTGGAGGCAGCTGTAACATTTCTTTTCCTCTTTAAGTTTTCTTTCACAAACCCAGTCCTTTCAATGATCCTACAAGCTATCTGGTTTTTTTTACCACTTTCCACCATGTTAGCCCTACTTTGGACACATTTCAGGCTTTATTTCATTTCGATAATCCTTGTCCTGGGTGGGGGGCAGAAAGCATTCCTTCAATTCTAAGCAGGCTACAGATGAGAGGAAGAAAGCTGATCCCTCAGGTGCCTACAATGAGGAGCACAGGACAAAGGAATGGCCATTGTCCTAACACATGTGCAGTGGTCTGAATGTGTGCTCCGAAATTCAAATGTTGACACGGGTGATGGTGTTAAGAGTTGAGGTCTTTATGTGCTATTATAAAAGAGAAAGCTGTTTGTCTCTTCTGCCATGTGAGGATACAGTAAGAAATGCCATCTGTGAAGCAGAGAGCAAGCCCTTCCCCAACACCAAATCTGCTGGTGCCTTAATCTTGGACTTGTCAGCCTCCAGAACTGTAAGCAATAAATTTCTATTATTTATAAATTACCTAGTCTAAGGCATCTTGTTATAGCAGTAGAAACAGATCAACACAACTAGAGATGACTGATTTTCTGTTCATTTATTGACACATTTTCTACTCATTTATTGACACATTCTCTTTCAATCAATGTTCATGGAGTGTTCACTAAGTGCCTGAAACTGAGACTCAAGAGCCAATAATGAATTTAAAAAAATACCCTCTGCCCTTATGGAACTTATATTCCAGCCAGGGAAATAGACTATAGCAAGGAAATAAAGAAATATAAATTAAAAAATATACAATATACTCTTGGGTAGTAGTAAGTGCTATAAAACAAGGTAAGAAACATAGGAGCTGAGCTTTTACATTTTATTTTATTTTATTTCCTAGTATAAAATTATTCCATTTTTACTTAGAATATTTGGAAAATACAGAAAACTATGAAAGAAAATTACTTATGATTCCACCTAGAGATAATACCTGTTAACATTTTGTATTTTGTAATATCTTTTTGGTCTTTATTTGTTATACATGAGCTCACAGTGATTTCTACAGAAAATCTGAACAATATTATATATGAGATTATCTTTTTTATCTTTTTCTTGTTGCTAAATTTTTTTTATATATATATTTTTTAGTTTTTTGCCATAGGGTGAGTGTGCTCAGTGGAGACAGAGAAAGAGATGGAGGGAGGAAAAAGTGAGAAATCATCCTCTGAAGGGGATGACCACACCACAATCTCTTCTCCTCTATTATCCTCCTGGGATTTGGGGCATGAATGCAAACGTGCCCAGCATGATTTTCAAGCCTCTAGGACCAAGACTCTAGGACCAAGGCCATATGGGAGTCCCGCACCTTAACCACCATGCCACCTGCTGGCCCCTAAATATTCTAAAGCATTTCTTTTTACTGTGATAAAATATACATAATAAAAATTATCATTCTAACAAAAATTTTAGCCATTTAAAAATTTATTTATTCATTTTAAAATTTACTATAAAGTATGTATACTCACCAGAGAGAGACAAAAGGGAGATAGAAAGTGAGAAAGCACCCTCAGGAGAGATGATCATGCCACAATCCCTTCTCCTCCATTCTTCTTTTGGGATCTTTGGACATAAACCCAATATGTTTTTCAAGCCGCCAGATCCAGGATTCGTTCCTCACAGTCAGTGATGTGGATCCAGCTGCCTTAACCAGCATTCTGCATGAGTGGCCCAAAGTCTGTTTATTTGTTTGTTTGTTGAGATGTACCCTTGACAGGATTTTGCCATGCCATGATCCTCCCCCAGCCTCCCATTCAGCCAGAAGCACAAGTGCATGTGGGTAAGCTAAGTATGTTTGAATCAACTGGGAGTGTGATACTGGGCCTTCCATGTGGCTCCAGCATCACATTGTGGTACCCTTCCACCTGTGCCTCCACTGCTGGGCCCCTTTTATCCATTTTTAAGTGTGCAGTTCAGTGGTATTAATTATACTCACATTGTTGTACAACCAGTACCACCATCCATCTGCAGATCTATAGATCTTTGTCATCTTTTCAGACTAAAACTCTGTACCCATTAAATAATAAGTCCCCATTCACCTACTCCACCCTCCTCCACCTTCCCCCTCCTAACTAACCCTGGCAGCACCATTTTACTTTCTGTCTCTATAAATTTGACTATTCTAGGTACCTCAGATAAGTAGAATTATCCTATATTTGTTCTTTATCTCTCTGGCTTATTTAAATTAGTGTAATGTCTTCATGGTTGATTCAGATAGCATGTGTCCTTTATTTATTTATTTATGTTGAATTTAGGTTTTTGCTATGGGGTATGAGTACTCTCCAGAGAGTGATTGAGAAAGGGAAAATGAGAAATCACCCCCACACCCCTAGGTGGGATGACCAGGTACAATCCCTTCTTCATTCTTTCCTTAGGATTTTAGGAAAACACATACAATGTACCCAGCATGATTTTCAAGCCACTGGGTCCAGGATTTGAACCATGGTCAGCCATGTGGAAGTCCAGCGACATAGATATTATATATGAGATTATCTTTTTTATCTTTTTCTTGTTGCTAAATTTTTTTTATATATATATTTTTTAGTTTTTTGCCATAGGGTGAGTGTGCTCAGTGGAGACAGAGAAAGAGATGGAGGGAGGAAAAAGTGAGAAATCATCCTCTGAAGGGGATGACCACACCACAATCTCTTCTCCTCTATTATCCTCCTGGGATTTGGGGCATGAATGCAAACGTGCCCAGCATGATTTTCAAGCCTCTAGGACCAAGACTCTAGGACCAAGGCCATATGGGAGTCCCGCACCTTAACCACCATGCCACCTGCTGGCCCCTAAATATTCTAAAGCATTTCTTTTTACTGTGATAAAATATACATAATAAAAATTATCATTCTAACAAAAATTTTAGCCATTTAAAAATTTATTTATTCATTTTAAAATTTACTATAAAGTATGTATACTCACCAGAGAGAGACAAAAGGGAGATAGAAAGTGAGAAAGCACCCTCAGGAGAGATGATCATGCCACAATCCCTTCTCCTCCATTCTTCTTTTGGGATCTTTGGACATAAACCCAATATGTTTTTCAAGCCGCCAGATCCAGGATTCGTTCCTCACAGTCAGTGATGTGGATCCAGCTGCCTTAACCAGCATTCTGCATGAGTGGCCCAAAGTCTGTTTATTTGTTTGTTTGTTGAGATGTACCCTTGACAGGATTTTGCCATGCCATGATCCTCCCCCAGCCTCCCATTCAGCCAGAAGCACAAGTGCATGTGGGTAAGCTAAGTATGTTTGAATCAACTGGGAGTGTGATACTGGGCCTTCCATGTGGCTCCAGCATCACATTGTGGTACCCTTCCACCTGTGCCTCCACTGCTGGGCCCCTTTTATCCATTTTTAAGTGTGCAGTTCAGTGGTATTAATTATACTCACATTGTTGTAC